TCGAAAACAGATTTTAGTGTAAAAATCCCGTTTTTCTTTCACGCCGCTTTTCAAAACTGCTGGGTAATTTTCATTTTTGACCCCCCAAAGTACCAACTAGATTCACTTTCCTATCAGAAAATCTACTGTTGAAGAAAATCCAAGCACTTTAACTTTCCTAAAACATGATGACATACACAAAAAAAAATTTAAAAATTTAAAAAAAAAGGTGGGCAAGTGGGTTTCGCTCTGCTTTTAGAGTAGGTTACAAGTGGGTCACTGCATAATGGATGGTATTAGATTTGAATTCAATGATATTATATCATTGTATAAAAAAAACGATTCTGAGCAGAGACGGTATGTCCTTCTAGGTATAAGACATATTATATACTTATTTGATATTAAAAAAAATTGACCTATAATGAATTTAAAATTAATCATATCACAATATCAATTAGGTACTTGTAATGCGTTATATACCAACAAAAAACCCTGATACTATCATAGATATATATTAGTATACTTTAGAAGTTTCAAGTACCCACGAAAAATATTATACAATCACAACAAAATAACTAAAATAGTTATTCTAGGTTTTTTATTATGTAATTTCGTCCAAATTTGAATTTAAAATGTCCGTAAAAAATAACTGTGTTCATATATTTTTTAGATTCTTTGGTTACAGTATGAACTATTTATGAGAACCTTTGTTTTAAATTTGCAATCCTTAGCTATGAAAACTGAACATCTTATAATTTATTAATTACAATGATTGATAATTTTCGAGATTTTGATAAATGTTGTCAAAATTCGATCTTTAAATGCTTATAAAAAAAAATTGTGCCTATGAATTTTTAAAATTTTTCAATTGCTGTTGTAACAATATATCAGGAGCCTTGTATTAAATTTTTACACTTTTTGGCCCAACAGATAAAACTTTGTTGATATTTATAGAAAAAAAACTAAAAAAATTGAAAATTGAAAATGTCCGTAAACAGCTCAAAAAAAGTCAAAATATTTTCAAAATTCTACAGTGTATAGAAAATGCTAATATGAACATGCAGTGAAATTTTCATGTATCTACAGTTATTCGTTTTTGAATTACAACAAAATAAGCAAATCGCTATATGAGAAATCGAGTAAAAATCCAATGTTGTAAAAATTTGAATTTCAACAAAATGGCTATCTTAAAAATTTTAAATTATTAAATGGGTAAAAAATTTTTTTGAAAATGTTTGAATTTAAAGAAAAAAATAAATGAATTTTATGCCATTCAATCAGAATTTTCATACTTATTACTGTAAAAAAACCGCGTTTAAATATAGTGATTTTACATGGAGATATTAAGGGTGATACGGGACTTTTGGGACACACTGTACAGTCCGCCAATTTACATTCCGGAATTCTACAGTCCGTGAGATTGTGAGAATACTTTCCGAGCTTATACATGCGTCCGGCACCGGCACCGAAACCTTTATTTTAATAAATAAAATACTGTAACCGAACCAGAATTTTTAAATTCAATAGGTTCTTTTATAGGTTCACAAATAAAATAATTTTATCCATCATAATTTAATGGTATTACTGATTTGTGTATAAACTATGTATGATCATATAAGTTTTCTAATATTTCTCATACTGTTTATTAAACCGACATTCCGGATAGGTATTTAAAATTATTATATTTTTCGGTAACTAAATTATTTGGAACCGATAACATTATTTTAAAACCTGAACCGAACCGGAAAAGTTATTTTATTTTTAGAGAATCAGTACCAGAACCGATACTGATAAATTCAAAAGGTTCCAGTACCTGAATTGTCACCCACTGATTGAATATTGGAAATTTGCATTTTCTAATAAATGTTTATGGGAGGATGGGTCCTCAGAACTATCATCAGCAACACATATTTATTTTAAGATTGCCGCCACTGCTTATTATAACTACATTATAAGATATTACATTATTGATACTTACTTCACACGGTTACGCAATTGTTGTAGAGATACTTCACTGTACTTGGTTTTAAATAATTGTAAAACGGACTGGCAGATAGACAACATTTAAACAAAATTACCGATGGGCGATATACACGAGATAAGATCACATATCTCTCAGCTACAGAAAGTTGGGCATTTATTTATTTATTTATTTCAGCCAAATCAGTTACTCAATTACAATAAATTACATAAAAATAGCTGATATGTATACCAACTGAGCTATAAGTTCGTATTTGGTCTACAAAGTTTGTGAATATTATAATTAATTGTATGGTAAATACTAATACAATTAAAAATATGACACAGTTAATTAAATATAATATAGTAGCATAGGCGCAACTAGGGAGTGCTTGAGGGTTCTTCAGCACCCCCAAACTTTAATTTAACACCCCCAGTTCAAAAACACCAAATATTCAAAAATCATTATATGAAAAAAATAGTTTTTTTAGCTTTCGTAAGGTTTTTTTTATTTCTTCATTTTTAGCACAAATACAATTTATTGTTTGTAAAGATCATAGGTATATCAAATATTAGAATTTAGAATTCATCAACATTTCAAAAATGTTCAGTTAGAAATGTATAAAAGTTTTTCCTTTCATAGCTAACATTATAAATGTTGATAGAAGACTCCTCACAATTGGTCCTACCTTAAACAAAAAAAAAAAAAAATTATTTGAAAGTAACATACATTTTTTATGAGCGTTTGAATCTAAAATGTGTACAACATTGAATTTTCAATTTTCATTAGTAAATTAACAAATTTTCATCCATAAATTTTGATATTTTGTTGTAATTTAAAAAAAAATAATCCAAGATACTTTACATTTTTACCAAATGTTAAAATAAAATTTTCTTTACATGGTAATATGTTAAAACAATTTTGACTCTTTTTGAGCTATTTATAACTATGAGAAATTTTTCAAATATTTTTAATTATTTTTCAGTTAGAAATTCATAAAATATTTTCTTTTCGTAGCTAAGATTAAAAATGTTAATAAAAGATATCACTTAAGTTTTTCTACCTATAAAAAAAACATATTATATACTTAAACAAAACATTAATTTTTTATGAGTGTTTGAACTTAAAATTGTTACAATATTCGATACTTAGCAGTAAATCTAATTCCCATTAATCGATTTTTTAGATTTTGTTGTATTTCCAAAATGAATAACCAGACTCTTGAAATGTTCACCAAAAATTTATATTAGCATTTTCTATTCATCGTAAATTCTTCAAACAATTTCGACTCTTTATGAACTATTTATAGCCATGATAAAATGTTTTAAATTGAATTCAAATATAAGACATCCATTACATCGACATGCTCAAAAACTACTGTACAGCAAAGCGGTACCCACTTGACCACATTTTTTATCCGTTTATACTTCCAGGTTACAATTTTTATCACCTAAATAATATAATATACCTTATGTATTTATCAGGTATATTAGTGTTGATTTACTAAAATATTTGGGTCCTTATGTGTTTACTATGCATTTAGGAATGGTTATAGTAATATTATAAAATTGTATGTGATTTGGGTATACAATACATACTTTTAGTATGTGATTTGGGGGTGTGGAGGCGTAGCTCCCACGGTTCTGTGTTCTTTACATAATTTTAGCACCCCCAGTGTTTGGCCTCTAGTTGCGCATATGTATATTTTAGAAACAAAATTAACATCAGAGTTACATGTGGTTAAGATATATGTAAATATATTGACTTTTTATAATTGTATTAATCCTCGCATTCTTTCAGTATTTTATTAGATTTTTAATAATTATTTCATTGGTATTATTAGATTAACTTTCACATACACTTTTTATTAGCTCTTTACTTTTAATGTAAACTAATTTTAGTTTTCACATTAAGTTAATCTCTATTTTTTATTGATGTCACAATACTGTGGGTATTCCATGATTTTAGATTAAAATTTCTCTTACTTAATTTGTACCTTGATACAATACAGTTATTAATTCTGTCAAATATAATTTTATTAAAAATATTTATTGCAGTATTATTATTATTGATTTCAAATAATCTAGTCCATTTGATACAAAGTAAAAAATAAATGATGTTAAATTTGAATTATTATCTATTGGTTTGTTATTTACTTGAAAGTTTTTAAACTACCTATAATTACGTAATGATCTGTTATCCTAGTCTTAATTTCTACTGGAATTTCATTAAATATGTAGTTAAGTTAATACTACAACATCTAGTGTCTTATCAAACTCTAGTATGCATACAGAGTTGAGAAGTAAAACCATTTGACGATAGTATATTTAAATAGTTTTTGGTTATAAAAGTTGTATTTTTTTCAAATACAGTAAAACTCGCTTAAGACGCTCCCGCTCAGACGCTTTCCCGCATAAAACGCTATTTGCCGTCGGTCCCTATATCATCTATATCCCTATTTCATTCCCGCATAAGACGCTTTCCCGCTTAAAACGCTCTAGAGAGCTGGTCCCTTAAAGAGCGTCTTAAGCGAGTTTTACTGTATGTCAATATTTATATCTCCAATCCATATATTTGTATAAGACCTGAGGCCATTATGGTTAAGGGACTACAAAAAAAGGTGTATTACAGAGAATTTTGTTAAAGAGGATTAAATACATTCAGTTATAATTTGGTTTCATTCTCAAAAATATTTTGTTTAACAGAAAATGTAGTTAAATGGAAGTTTGTTATATGGAAGTTTCACTGTATCTTAGAATCTATATGACAATATTTTTCAGATGTGCACGTGTCTAAATTTAAATAAAAATATTATGCTGTAGTTAGTTTATAAAAGAAAACTATAAAATTATAAAATATATTATATAAATATAATTATAAAATAATATATAATAAGATCTTCGAAATATTTTTCTTGTATATATTTGCCATATTCGACTTTTTTGCAATATATCCTGCCATGACCTGTTCAAATAAAACAATGGCCCATCTCTTTAACTTTTTTTATCAATTCCCAAAATAGTTTTTTACTGAATGCAGTAAGACTTTTGTTTATATAGATTCAATGACTTTTGTATTCTATTTTACCTTGTTTCTTAATAAATTTGTCACGTTTTTTCCTTGATGAAAATTCGACAATTATCAAAGGCTTATCCAGATTTTGGATCGATAGTTTACGATCAGGGTTTTCATCAATATCAAACAAGTTAAGATCTATTTTTAATACATTAGCAATGCCATGTACCAAATTGTGAACATTTTCTTCCTTTTCCTTTTGGACACCACTTATTTTTTTGACAACAAAATTTTTCATTTTTCTCCTAAGTGTTATTTTTTGAGTTACTTTATCTTTTTCTTTCAATGATTTTTCCAGTTTAATAGCACGATTATTAAGTGCCTCTAATTAATTAGTTGTAGTTACCTGGTAGGCACCTGATCCAATCTATTGATAGTTGATTTTTTATCTGTTCCTAATGTTGTAGGACATAGGTAGTATATTTTCTTTTGTCTTGAGAGAGTCTTTAATTGGGATACCATTATGTCATCCAAATTTCAACTTAAAATGCACTCTAGAACTTATTTTTGGCTAACAATTTTAATATGTTCAAGACTATCTTTATCCATTTTTGAGAATTTCATATAATAAAAAATAAAACTACAGTATAACATGCAGCACATTGTAGAACTGTCTTCTTTCAAGCGATTGATATTTGACAAGACATACTGTCATAATGTGATATTATTATAACACGGTGTTAGTATAAACTATAAACAATTAGTAATTAACACGCACACATCTTTACTCAACAAATGGCACAATTGAATTAAAGATTGAACAAGAGATACAATCCAATATCAAAATATATTTTAACTGTACTTATATTTATATATAATTAGGGAGAGAGAGAGAGAGAAAAGAGTTGAGTATCTTACAATAAATTATGTAACTTCATACAAGTTACAACTTACATTTATTCTGAATATGTATTACAAGATTCCTTATTCTATCAAAAATACATTCACAATTTTTAGATTCTGAGCGGAGCGATGAATGTATTGGTTTTACAATGATGTATGTTTTTATATTTTTATTTATATTTTTATATTTTTGTGTCTGTCATCACGTTTTAGGCCAGTAAAAGTGCTTCGATTTTCTTCAATAGTACCTTTTCTGATAGGAAAGTGAATCTAGTTGGTACTTTGGGGGGTCAAAAGTAAACATTTCACAGTAGTTTTCACAAGCGCCGGGAAAAAACAACATAAAAATTAAGGAAAAACGGGAATTTTTACGCAAAATTGGTTTTCCAAAAAATCGATTTTGGTTATTGGTGTAACTCTAAAACAAATGAACGTATATACATGAAATTTTCACTGGTTGTTAATATTCGCATTTTCTATACACGATAACATTTTCAAAATATTTTGATTTATTTTGAAATGTTTAGGGACATTTTCATTTTCCATTTTTTTTTAGTTTTTTTTCTAAAAATATCAATAAAATTGTATTTATTGGTTGCGAAAGCTTGAAAATTTAATAGAAGGCTCCTAATATGTTTTCAAATCTAATACCATCCATTATACAATGACCCACTTGTAACCTACTGTACAGCAGAGCGACACCCACTTGCCCACCTTTTTTTAGATTACTTTGAAGTTTAAAAATAGCAATCTTGTAACACAGCTGATATAGATAGTTATGAGATGAAAAATCTAGATAGCATCGATAGATATTGTCAATAATTTTGTTAAATGCATTTAGTAGTTACAAAGTTTGTGATTTTCGTAATATTGAATGTAATATTATATTATGTTATATACCTACAAAATGATTGTAACTTTTAGCCAACAGTAGAATAAATTTAAAAAACTAAACCATTCACTAAAAACCTTAAATAGTAAAATGATGCAAAAAATAAATAAATAATATAGTAAAATAGCACACAACCAGGCACATGCATATTCAATAAAATAAAAAGTTGGATTTCTACAAGAAACTATTTAGATCTAAAAGTATGACAAAATGATAATACCTACTTAGAATGATCGGATTGTTATTCTGTCAAAATAATTTGGATCATTTCTAGGTTAAGAGGAAGTTGATTTCCAAATAGGATGATAAACTCAGCATTGAAATCGACAGTTCTAAGCAAATTTGTTTGGATTCTTAACACTTATAGGTCTAAATTATGAAATAAATATACTGCATCCAACTGCCTTCACAACAATGTCAATTGAAATGGATAAATGTAAATATACAATTAATCTAAAAGACTAATTTAAAAGAAAAAGGAAATAGTTAAAACTTTAAAAATTTTAATGCCTGTGCAGGGTTGCATAAATAATCACTTAACATTTAATAAATTAAAAGTGAGCTAAAGGCTACTCATGACTTAGTGGCCCATGATCAATTTTAATAAAACCATAAAACTAATCAATTTTATCAGCATATAAGCATGTTTAATAGCTTTTAAATTTAAAGATTATACATTTTGTGATATTATTTATTGTTGTTTGGGAATGAGATTTTTCTTTAATTTTTGCTTTGTAATGTAGCGTTAGTAATTACTTGATAATTACAGACAGAAGAACGAATCTATTAAACATATTATTATAGATTATGAGTACTGAACTAAAATTAGTAATAAACCATTTAAAAATATAATAAATATACATTTGATCACAGATAACTTCAGTTAGTATCTCTAATTTGGGTACATTTCACATTACTTATTCTAGCACATAATTCAAAAACTAAATTTAATTATTAAAATATAATAATTTATTTTATTTTGGTGATAAAGTACACTTTGTACAGTTAATTATATAAAACAATACATCTACATTGATTACAGTAATAAAAAAAATTATTATTGCTAAAAAAATAGTCAAATTTAAATATTATATTCAGATTACAATTTATTTTAATTATAATGAAAAAAAAATTATATTATATATTATATAATAATAACATAATTTATATATATTAACAATAAGAACTACATTGGCCAAATGGTTTTCAATTTCAGTGCTTATCATTTTAAAACGATGTGGAAATGAATGCATTTTTTGTAATTTAAAAAATATAATTTAATATTATACACATTTACTAATAGAAAACCAAAATTATCAAACTGAACTGTAATAAAAAAAACAACACTAAAAACAAAGAAATATCACCTATTATTTATTTTATTGTACCATAAGACTTACAATTAAAATAAAATTACTTGTCTGATTAGATGTAAACTTTAAAATATTAAAAACAGGAATATAATGAAGTTTTTTTAAACATTTATAAAAGGTTCTAACCTTGCGGTCCAATGTGTTCATAAATTGTATAAAACAATTGGCAACAAATTTTAAAGGGTGACATCTCAGCATTATTTTAGTGAACATATCAACAGTTTGGAATAATCAATTTTATGTTCTGAACCAATATATTTGTATAAGTTTTAATTTTTATAGTTTCAAGTAATATAACTAGTTTACATTGGTGAATCAGTGAAATTCATGGGATGAATGAAAATAATGTAAAATAGTTATTTAAAATATTATTGAATTACAAAAATTATATGTAGATTAAATTAACATAATATACAGATTTTAAATAATTTAATTTAAGAATCTCAAATCTACTTCTGTAAAAACAAAATATTTGGCTTCAGAATAGTTTTATTTAACTATCAGAATGATTGTTTTATAGAAAGTATAAACAAAAAAATTAAATATTTTAAAAGGTAGTCTAGGTAGTCTTCATTTAAGATTTTTACAAAGATGTACAATGTTTATATGAAATATTTTTCTCTGCACTATACCAAAATGTGACCTACTACATCTTTATTTTGGTATGTTATCCACCCTATATTATTAACTTTAAATAATCAATCTACAAACATAACTAAATTAACGTAATAAGCTAAACTTCGTAATAATAGTAATATTAAAATAATATTAATAGAATATTAATGCTTTATTTATACCAAAACTCAATTCATTAATAATTATTTATATATTTAATGAACAATAATGTTGTCACTGTAATTAATTCTTATATTAATTATAAGCTTGTAGGTCACTAATTGGTATAATGATTTTTCTGTATTTGTTCTAGTTTTGATTATATTAAAATTACTATATAATTTATAATGCATTAATATATTATTTTTTTACCCACAATAAAATGTCTGACATTATTGCTATGAATTTCAACTGTTTAATTTAGCCAATATTAATACAGGTATAATGCTTAACGTACAGTAAAACCAAATATCACTTGTAAAATTTTTTTTAATATTATCAAATAAGAGAAATGTAAAAAACAAAATAAGAGTTGTTATAAGAATTATGAAATGAATATGATTAAATTAATTGGGTATTTATTAATATTTAGTTTTGTCAATTGTTTTAGAAAAAGTATATTTTTGCAATTTATTATTTAGTACAACATTTGTATAATTTTGGTTAACGTGTCTAATTGAAAATAAAATAAATGTAAGGAATGTCTTATGAATAAAAACCAAAGAGTTTTACTTTAATTTTGTTCCATATTGGTAACATTTTGGAAGCCGTTCAATAGGTTAACAGAATCATTTTGTACCAATTATTATAAAAATAAAACATAAAACATTAAGAAGAATGACGGGTTCAATGATAAAATAATCTGTTACAGAATATAAATCAAAAAATTGTATAATAATATTATTCAAAGATCAATCAATACACTATAAAAACTAAAGATATTTCTTGTTAGGAGTGACGCCACACACGCACTTATTCTCTGTCTTACAAATGAACACAGTAAACTTGGATTCAGCTGTTCCAATTTTGTGTTGTTAGTTTTAATATTTAATCCATAAATAAGTCAATATTATCTAACTTAGAGGTAAAATTAACATTATCTATTGTTTGTCTTTTTTTTTTTAATATTTTAATTTTAAAATAAAATATGACTATGTAAAGACAGTTCAATTCTTGCTATTTTTAAAAAAATATAAGAAACTAAAAAAAATTCCTAATATTAAGACTAACAACTCAAAATAGGAACAAATTCGCCAAGTTGTAAGAAGGAGATCACAAATGCGGGCATGGTATCCTCTCTTAATTATAAACCAAGAAAAAAACTTTTTCTGTACAATTCGGAAAATATAATTTATTTTCAAAATAAAATAATGTTAAACCAAATGACATTTTAAGTTTCAGACCTCATAATATGTGCTCATATTGAAAAACACTTAAGTATTCAAGTGCACAAGGCATAGAAGAATGATCAATTGAGCACTTAAAATCTAATATTAATTATCCATAAAAATAAAT